ATAGTATGACATTAGAATGATGATTGTGTGATTAGAATGGGTATAACTACTAAATTAGAAATGATTACTTTGCGATAGGAGACATCATGTTGTCACTGTATTATAACACATATATACTACACATACAAATAGGGACAAGAAGCCACTGATGTATTTATTTACTTCTTGTTTTTGCTTTGTTTTGTGGCTAGAGGGTCTCAGCTGGCTGGCCTCCAACTCTGAGATCTATCTGCTTCTGCCTGAGTGCTGGGATTAAAGGTGTATGGCACTGTACCTGGCATGTTCACTTCTTTAAATCAAAGACTCCATCATATATTGTGTCACTAAGAACAAAGATCAAAACTACAAAGGTACTTGTGTGTATGTGTCTGTTAAGTGTTTGTGTGTATGCAGGTATGTATGAACATGGAAGAGAGGCAGATGTTGACTGTCTTCTTCATTTGCTTTCTACTTTATTTTTGAGACAGTGTCTCTCACTGAACCTGGAGCTCACCATTCAGGTAGACTGGTACATCAGCAAGCCTGAGGGAACATTCAGTCTCTGCCTCCTCAGCACTGGGATTATAGATATGCACTGTTGTACCTGGATTTTTGCATAGATTTTAGGGATCTGAACTCAGGTTCTTATTTTTGTGCATCAAACACTTCACTGACCCATCTCCCTGGGTCAAAAATACTTGACAAAATATGTTCAAAGAGAAACAAAACTATTGGCAAAATCCTATCAGATGGCACAATTTGACATTACATATGTTATACAGTAGGAAGAATAATTACTACAGATGTGCATTCTCTTAAGTATTTATAACTGCATTCAACCACTAGTGCACAGATTAAGAATCAACTCCACATATTCATGTGTAACATGTAAATAAACATAGGCAACTTTTTAGTTTGATTATCAATGGAAACATACAGTTGAAAAGGGATTTTCTTTGACCCAAGAACCTTTTGAGCCTTGACTTACAAAGGTGTACTCGTATTAGTATGAGCAGAGCACTAAACAGGCAGCAAAGGAAGTAGCCTACTATCTAAAAACAAATTTACAGGTGGCTTCATTTATAGACAACAGCTGGCATCTGACAATAACACACCCTATTGAGTCAGTGTTAAAACACAACATGGGAAATTGTGACTATAATTCAAATTGCAGCCCTTGAACAGGTTTCTTAGCATATAATAACAAGAAATAAGAAATAGACTGTTTATCTTTTCAATAGCAAAGCAGCTAACAAAACCATTCAAATGAAAGATTTTTTTTTTCTGTTTTTCTGAGATAGGCTCTTTCCGAGGCTGTTCTTTTTGAGACAGGGTCTCCCTGAGGCCCTAGCTGGCCTGGAACTCACTGCGTAGACCGGGCTGGCCTCAAACTCACAGAGATCCACTTGCCTCTGCCCCCAGAATGCTGGGATTAAATGCATGAGCCACCATGCCCAGCTCCATTTCTACAATTTTAAGTGTCTTATCTTTATAACATATACAACAGTGAATAACTTAAAATGATCATTTGAAATAATGTAATTCTCATGGATAAAATAAAGACCAAATCATAAAATAAATGAATTAACCAAAGAGTTTGACTTATCCCAACAGGATCTAGAAATGGTCTTTCTTTAGTGTAGAATGAAGTCAATGTTTCATTTTGTTTTTTTAAATTAAAAACCACATTCAAGGGGGCTGGAGAGATGGCTCAGCAGTTAAAAACACTTACTGTTCTTGTAGAGGACCCAGGTTTGAATCTCAGCACCCACATGGCAGCTAACAACCATTTCTAACTCTAGTTCCAAGGGATATGACATCCTCTTCTGACCTCCCTGGCCAATGCACAACATGGGTGCACATACGCACATGCAGGCAATACACTCATTCATAAAATTATTTTCTCTCTCTCTTGCTTCACTCAATCTGAGCTTTTAGTAACAATCTGAGCTTTTAGTAACAATTGTTGCAATAATCATTCATTTGAATATCTACAATACCTAATAGAATCACAATATACCTGCTGTCCTAACAGCAGGTGTAGCTGTAACTTACCTAATTAAGACTGAAGAGCAAATGGGTTAAAAAAAAAGTGAACTATAAAACCTTATCTTTGGCTTTGTGAATCAGGTATCAATATGGTGAAAGATGCAACAATAACTGCTTTTCCTGATGCTTACATTATTTTAAAATATTGTCTTTACCTTACAAAGATAGCACTTTAGGTTATTTTTTTCCCTCCTTTAGTTTATCATTTTATTATTATTGTTTTTAATTTTTTTTATGTGTATGCATGTATTGCCTGCATGTAGGTAAGTGCACCTGTGTTGTGCAATGCCTGTGGGAGGACAGAAGAGGCTGTTGGATCCCCTGGAACTGAAGTTACAGACAGTTGTTAGCTGCCATGTGGGTGCTGGGATTCGAACCTGGGTTTTCTGCAAGAACAGTCAGTGTTCTTAACCCCTGAGCCATCTCTACAGCCCCAGACTATTTGTTTTTAAAGAGCTTCTCACTATGTAGCTCAGGCCTGTCTTAACTTTCTATGTAGGCCAGGGTAACCTTGAACACTAAACCCCTCTTGCCTCATTCTCTCAAATGCTGGGATTACAGGAGTGAACTACTCAGTTTGGTTATTCTTTTTGTGTGTGTGTGTGTGTTTTTTTTAATGGAATCACTGTTATGCATGAAAACTCATCACGTGAGCAGGGCACCACTGTGCAGGCCTTTAATCCCAGCGCTTGGGAGGCAGAGGCAGACAGATTTCTGTGAGTTCAAGGCCAGCTAGGGATACAGGGAAACCCTGTCTCAAAAAGACCCCCCCCCCCCACCCCGCCAAAAGAAAATTCATCATGCAGTCCACAAATTTCAAATGTTTGAGAAGATTACTTTCTTCACTGTAATACTTTCCTTTTACACAAACCTTTTCTTCGTATGCATCCTGTGTTAGTAAAACAAATAGACACTGTATATGGCCATACTCTTTTCCAGCATTAGAAAAGCATATTATCTACAGTTGTATTACCTTGTTTAAAAAAACATCAGTCTGGCTGGATGTGGTGGCCCACGCCTTTAATCCCAGCACTCTAAAGGCAAAGGCAGATGGACCTCTGTGAGTTCAAGGTTAGCAGGGTCTAAATAGTGAGTTCTAGGCCAGCCAGGGTTACATACTGAGACACTGTCTTAATCTCTCCAACCCCTCCAAAACAAAACAAGAGTCTCATATCAGTATTACACCACCTATCAAAAACAATGTATTTAATAATTTCTAATTCTCTCCATGACACTTACTCTCCTCCAAAGTCATGCTTTCCTTTCGACTGTCCCAGAAACCAAGTTGTGTTCCTATAGCTCTTGGCTATATGTAAGGGTAATATTAAAGATGTTTAACAATAGCATAGTATAAATACCAAACAAGGACAGCAGCTCAGAAGCATGGCTGTAAATGAACAAGTGTACTAAATGTTAGCCTTAATTACAGTTTCTTTTAAGTAGTTAATATTTTTTTCCATGCTACCCCCATTTTCAGAGACCTTTAGTTATTCTCTGCCCAGCAATTCCCAGAAAACTGAACAGTTTTCCTGAAAGGTAACCAACCATATTAAGTTGGATTCCCAAGATGAACTTAACTTTCTATCTTATTAAATCTTTAATTTCAAGCTGGGGATCTAGCTCAGTACCTAACATGACAGAGAACCTAAGATCAGTGCTTAGCAAAAACAAAAACAAACTTTAATTTTCCTACTTTTATTTCTTAACAGAAGAACTAAAGAACAGTAGAACATACTCTATTACTGTCTTTTAAACCAACTACATTCAGAGAATGATGCTCTGTAAGCCCACCTATTTTTTTTTTTTTTTTTTTAACATGTATGCCTGTGCAACCGTCAGGTATAATCCTCAGAAACTCCCTGTCTTTTGACGAGGTCTCTTATTGCCCTGGAGCTCACCAATTAGGATAGAATGGTTGGCCCTAGGGATCCTGTCTCTGCTTCCCCAGCACTGTGATTATAAATGAGTGCTATCCTGCCAACATTTTTTGGTGAGTTCTGGGGATTAAACTCAAGTCCTCATACTTACAAGGCAAGTACTTTATCGACTGAGCTAATTAGCTTCAGCCCTAAGTTGGCTTTTTTTTTTTTTTTTTTTTTGGTCTTTTTGAGACAGGGTCTCCCTGTAGCCCCAGCTGTCCTGGAACTCACTATGTAGACCAGGCTGGCCTTGAACTCAGAGATCCACCTGCCTCTGCCTCCTGAGGGCTGGGATTAAAGGTGTGCACCACCACGCCCGGCCCTAAGTCAGCTTTTTATTACAGCTTTATTATTTGGTTATTATCTGTAAAGTTAGTAATGTAAGCCCTTTTTCCTCTCAAATAAAAAGTCAACATGCCAGGCATGGTGGCCCACGCCTGTGGTCCCAGCACTTGGGAGGCAGAGGCAGGTGGATTTCTTTGAGTTCAAAGCCACCCTGAGTTTTAGACCAGTTGAGCCTATGGGGAAATCTTGCTTCAAAAAGATTAAAAAAAAAAAAAAAAAAAAAAAAATCAATATACAGATAAATGGGTAAATTTAGGGCTTTCTTTCTCTCCCCCCACCCTACCCTCTCTTTCTTTGAGATTCGCCTGCCTCTCCCTCCATACTGGAATTAAAGATGTGCACCACCACGCCCAGTTAAATTTGGGGGATTTTTAAAGAATTTTATAAAATGCTAGCAAAACAAGTATTTGACATTTAGAGAGGAAAAATATATTCATAAAAAACCAAAGGTATGAGTCATCTAAAAATAAGTCTGAGAGCTGGATTATACCTGTGATCCCAGCACTTGGGAGAATAAGGCAGGAAGATTGTGATTTAGAGGCTAGCCTGGGCTACACAATGTATTCCATGTCAGCCTGGGGCTACAAAGACCTTGTCTCACACCACTCTCCATCCTTCCAAATAAAAATAGCTTGAAATCACAGAGTTACATATAATAACAGTAAATATATTTAAGAATAACAGTGTTGTTCTTAAAGATATCCTTACCCAACTTTGGAAAAACTATCAAGTATTCAGCATTGCACTGAGGACATGCCACTCTGGCTGTACTGTTTCCTCTTTGTTTTTCATCCACCCATCGTTGTAGACAAGCTTGGTGAACCCATTTAGTAGATCCTCTGCACCTGCATGGTCTCACCCATTCAGCTGTTCTATCATCTTCATCAGTGGCAAAACACACCCAGCAACTTCTGTAAATAGAGAAAAAGTTTATCTTCAGGATTCCAGTCTCCTTTACACTGAAGTTCTTAGCTAATGGGATGAACCTGTGATATTTAGAACCTCTGTCCTACATTGAAAGAACAGAGCCAAAGCCACCAATATAGTCCCACAGAACATTTCTTCTTTTATGTCTTGCTTCATCTCTCCTTTCATTACAGAATCTATTTTCTAAACTTTGTTTTAAAGTAATTGCTTCCATCTCTGTAGTAATTCTTAACTCTAACTAGTGAGCCAGAGTACAGAAACAACCTTCAATAGTTTTAAAACCTAGTAATTCTTTGCAGCACCACGATTTGTGAGGCAGAGGAATAAGATTTATTTTCTCCCACATCTCAACACCAATCTCTTATAACAATATAAGAAGAAAAGATATAACATTTTTGTTTGTTTGTTTTTTCTTTTTGAGACAGGGTCTGCAGCCCCAGCTGACCTGGAACTCATTATGTAGATCAGGTTGGCCTAGATCTCATAGAGATCCACCTGCCTCTGCCTCCAGAGTGCTTGGGATTAAAGGCATGTGCCACCATGCTTGGCTTTGTTTTTCTTGAGACTAGGTCTCACATGACCTAGGCTGGCCTTGAATTCCTCCTCAAGCATCCCAAATGCTAATACAGGCATGCCTCATCCTGCCTGACTAGATAGTAATAATTTTAAATACAAAGAAGTTGGGTATACTAGCTCACTCTAATATTGCCAGCTGTCAGGAGGCAAAGGAAGGTGAACCTTGAGTTCAAGCCCAGTCTGAAGACCATTTTAGAAACCAAGAGTCAAGGTATGTTATAGCTCATTGGACATGGTCCTGGGTTCAATCAACACCATTGGGGAGGGGGAAGGGAAAAGCACAAAGTTATAAGGATAAGATAAATAGCTTTAGGGCAGAGATTTGATAAACTTGGGTCTAGATATTTCCACTATAATAGCTATGATTACTTCTTTTTTAAATGGAATCCAATATTTATTATATTTCAAATCTGTAAGTGTTATAAGATGCTTATTTTTTAAAAAATCTACTAAGGGGCTAGGGAGATGGCTCAGCCATTAAGGGGACCTGAGTTCGATTCCCAGCACCCTCCAGGGGCAGCTCCCAACTGCTTTTAACTCCAGCTCCAGGGGGAGAGGTGTCCACAGGCACCTGCACCTCACATGTACAGACCCTCCTCCCCACATACACATAGTTAAAAATGAATCTTAAATTCTGAGTGGTTAATTTAAAAACATTTTTTCCAGTTGGGCACAGTGGCACATCTGTGTAGTTTTAGCAACTTGAGAAGCTGAGGCAAACTCGAGAAGACGGAGACCAGCCTGCAGTATAGCAGAACCCAGTCTCTAAAAGTAACAGTACTACCACCACCCTAAACATTTTTCTTTTAAGGGCATTTCATGAAGTCTAATTTTTCTTCAATTCCCAATTCCTTTTTTTCTTCTTCTCACCACACTTTTTTTTTTGGATTCAGGGTCTCGTGTAGTTTGGACTGGCCTCATGTAGCTGAGGATGATCTTGAATTTCTGAACCTCCTGCCTCCATGACGCTCAGGCTGGGAAAGAACCCACAGCTTTGTGCATACTAGGCAAGCACTCTACCAACTTACATCCCCAGCCCTCCACACAAGTCTTGATATTGATTCAATTCACTGAGAAGCCCCTTCTCCTCCATTAAAGTTTGTGTAAATGGAAACAATTCCTAATTACAGCTGGTTACTTATTGTGTTTTCACTCAACTGGATAACTGGTTTCTTTCTATAACAACTACCTTACTATATACAGTGAGAAAAATTGACTATATGGTCAGAGACTACAAATGGATGACTTTCTAGTCCTTGGGGAACATCAACAAATTAAGTATGTGTCCAAGCAAAAAAAAAAATTCAATTCAAACATGGAAAAAGTTAGCTGAATCCATGGCAACAATATCCAAAATTAAAACTTTAGTCAGCTTTCAAATGTAGTCAAATATCACAGTATTCAGGTAGATTTAGGAGGTAGGTAATCTTGGTTTAGTGCTCTGACTCATTTCACCTAAGCTGTGTAGGTTCTCAAACTGCCTCAATGCTTATTAAAAATGCCTTGTATTTTTTTCTTTTAAAAATTTAACTTTGGGGGCACACACCTTTAATCCCAGGGAGGCAGAGGCAGGCAGATCTGAGTTTGAGGCCAGCCTGGTCTACATAGCAAAATCCAGGCCAGCTGGGGCTACAGGGAGACTCTGTCTCAAAAAGACAAAAAAAAAAAAAAAAAATTTTTTTTTTTTTTTTTTACTGTGGGAGCTGGGCATGGTGGCACAGCCTTTAGTCCCAGCACTTGGGATCTCTGTGAGATTGAGGCCAGCTTGGTCTACATAGTGACCAGGCCAGTCAGGGATTCACAGTGAGACCTTGCCTCAACACTCCCACCCCCAATTTTTTTAACAATTGGTCAGCAAGATGGCTCAGTGGGCAAAGGTGCTTGTTTCCAAACCGTAGTTTGGTATCTGGGTGTCACATGGTAGGATGGGAGAACCCACTCCTGAAGGTTGTCCTCTGACCTCCACACATCAGGTAGCAGTCATGTTCTCCCTGCCCCGAAATGAATAAATAAGATATTTTTAAACTGGGCAGCTTTTCCTCCTAGGAGCCCTTACCTACACTTGGGTGTGACTTACTCTCTGCTCTTCTTGAGAAGTCCACACCCATATTCTGGACCTCTTTCCTCTTAATCCTCATGCTTAAATCTGTTCATATACATACACATATACATACATACACACACACACACACACACGTGTGTGTGTGTGTGTGTATGTATGTCTTTTTGAGCCAAGGTCTCCCTGTAGCCCGAGCTGGCCTAGAACTCACTATGTAGACCAGGCTGGCCTTGAACTCAAGAGATCCGCTGCCTCTGCCTCCTGAGTGCTGGGACTATGGGACTAAAGGGGTGCACCACTGTGTCCCGCCCTGTTAAAATATTAACAAAATCTCCAACTCCGCTTTGTTAAAAAAAAAAAATTACCATAGTAAAGTATCTAGAATGTAAAACTTAACTGCTTTCACTATTTTTACATCAACAATTCAATGACATTAAACATGTTCACATTATTGTGGAGTCCCTAAGGCTGCCCAGGGAATGACTAAAATTTCTGCTTAAAATTTCAATTTCTAAATATATTAACACATAGGTTAACTGAGCTATTGTTAGTATAAATATATTTCAACACAACAGATGTTATATTTGTCTGTCAAACTGGATAGAGACTATCTAGAACTTCCGAGGTCTTCTTAAGTTCCTTTCAAAATGTTTTTCTGGGAGTTAATAGCTAACATGTGGGTGCTGGGAATAGAATTCAGGTCCCCTGTAAGAGCAGCCAGTACTGTTCTTAACCGCTGAGCCTTTTCTCCAGCCCCTCTTTTTTTTTTATCTTGACAGAACACATAAATAGTTAAGTAAGGCTACATACACCAGAATAAATAATCAGTATTAAGGGATAGGGATGCAGCTCAGTTGGAATAGGCCTTATCTAGGTTCGATTCCCCAGCACTGTGTAAGACGGGTGTGGTGGAGGCAGGAATAGTCTGTACAGTCACATTCCTCATCAACTGTTAAGTATGGCTTTCCTTTCCCCCAGTACTTTATAAGGAAAAATGTTATATGCTTTCTCAAAAAATTATGGAAGAGGGGGCAGAAAGCACCAGAAGATGAGGAACACTATGAAATTTGGTCATCTGGACAGGACCTGTTTTACTCATGAACCCACAATAGGCTGCACAAGACCTACACAAGATGGAGCCCATCAACACTCCCTCATGGGTAAAGGAGGGACTCATAAAACCCCATCCCTCTCTGAAGAACTACTGGCAATAATGGTTGCTGGAGGGCAGAGAGTAATCTTCAGTGGTGTAGCCACTTATAATGTCCCACCCACGCTATGCAAGCAGTTCTAATTAAATTTCGTAGGTCACTAAAATAACAAGACATAAAATGAGGGAGACTTGTTTTAGGAAGAAGGGTGAGTTCATCAGGAGTGGAAGGGCGATGAGACAGAATAACTGGAGGGGAAAATGACCAAAATACATTATATGTTCCAGTAAAGGCTGCCAGAATTCCCAAGTTTCTATAAATGCTTCCCCGGCACTCACTGGCTTCTTTTATGGAAATCACTAAAGAATGTACAAGAGGCTAGAACAGTGTATAGACATAAGAATTTCAAGCCAGGTGTGGTGGCACACGCCTTTAGTCCCAGCACTTGGGGGGCAGAGGCAGGCGGATCTCTGTGAGTTCAAGGCCAGCCTGGTCTACATAGTGAGTTCCAGGCCAGCTGGGGCTACAGGCGAGACCCTGTCTCAAAAAGACCAAAAATAATTTTCTGTAAAAGTCACCACATAAAAGTGGAATGTCATCAGTACAAATAAGTAACTACAAAATACCAGAATAGAGTCTCATTTAACTGAATTGCTGTGGCAGGTGGTCTCTCTGGGTGTATCTCAATATGTCACACCTAGTAAGTTTAAGTAATAATGAAAGGAAAACCTGGCAAATGATCAGACTTCTTAGACAATTGAGGAAATTGACAAATTTATTAGTTTAACAAATAGTGATTTCTTTTTGAGTTCCAAGCCTTGTCCTAGGATTTAAGATAACAATGACCCTTTCCTGCTAGAGCTTATAAAGAGTGTGTGTGTGTGTGTGTGTGTAATATGGAGGGGTGGTACATGCCTGTAATCCCAACTACTCTAGAGACTGAGGTGATAAGATTTTCAGTTCCTAGCTGGCCTGGACAATATAAAAACACACAAATTTAGTTTGAAAAACAAGGGGCAGGAAGTTTCTTTCCCCAAAACAGCAGTCAATGTACACCTGATACAAGGGATGGATGTTACCAGTCAGTCCAAATGAAAATCAGTGACATAACTCCTATCAACTTAAAATGTCTCAAAATTCTAAGGTACAAAGTAAGTATCTGTCACTCTGGGAGGAGGCTACTCTTGGGTGACTTACAGCCTTTTTAAGGCCCACGCAAAAAGCGTTTAATTGACTATAATCTCGGCCCTTCATTTAACAACTTAGAAAGTTGGATCTTCAACTGGCTACAAAGCATACCACCTGCTGAACCCGCGTGGTGGGTTCTATCTATTCAGAGCTGTAACAGCAAGCACAAATATGAATTATCTCGTACAATTAGTTGCAACAGGAAGCAAGAAACCAGCCAGCAGAAATGTGAATTTGTCTCTAAAAGCTCATGGTGGAACCCACTGACTAGAATTTGAACAGCAGGGGGCGGGGCAGTCGACTTCTCAAAGAATTTTAATGGTTGGAGGACCCCCTCCCCCCAAATGGACAACTGGCCCCAGTATAAGCTAAAAGTTTCAACGAACTCAAGAATCGTCACGTGTGCAAGCTGTTCAATGTTGCTTGCATGTGGCTGTTTTCCATAACCTCTATCCTGGTGTGACCTTAAGGTTCCCTGGCGGATACTCTGACCTTACAGTTTGGGGGTGGGGATGGCATGGGGGTTGGGAGGAGAAATGAAATCAATCTACCAGACTTTCAAAAAGAATGCTTACGCTTGCATTTTTTTTTTCTTTTTTGGAAAGCAGCTTCAAATTGTGAGGGCTCCTTCCCCAGAAAGAGAATCCGCTTCTTCCCAGAGACCTCGCTACCCAACTCTTTACGACATGGTTGGGGGAGGAGGTGAGAAAAAGAAACTTATTCTACGGGGTAACACAAGAACCTCCTCTCCAGAAACTGCGTTCGGGCGAAAACAGTCGCCACTCCTTAAACTAAGTTTCTAGGTCTAGGGTCCAGGCCGCCCCCTCTCCACCCCCAGGGCCAACTCCACGCTCGGTGCCCCTCTCGGTCCCCGGGCCGTGGAACTCTGGGCGGACGCCGGGCTCGGCACCCCGCGAGCCTCGAGGCCAACATGGGGCAGGGCCAGGCCTGAGGACGGCGGTTCCCGGCCGCCCGTACCTGTCCAGCATCTGTTGAAGGGCTTGGTCCGGCATCTTCCGCGAAGCCGGCGCACTCAGGAGACCCCAGCACTCCGGTCCGAGGCCGGGCCCACGGACAATAGCACTGAGAGGCGCTGACTAGGCCTTAGCCCCGCGCCGGCCGCGGACCCGCCACTCGGCCTCCCGGCGCGGTTCCGCGAGGCCGGCGGCGGCGCTGTGCGACCAGCGGGCGTCCGGAGGAGGCGGTGGGCAGCGAGGAGGAGGAGCCTGTGGCGTGGAGGCGGCGGTGGTACCTCAGGTTCCTGCCGCTCAGCCCGGGGTTCCGGTCCATGGACCGCCGGGGCGCCGAGCTACGGCCAGCGGAGGAGCTACCTCTGTGAGGTAAGAGTCACCGCCTCCGTGCGCGCCGGGGTCACGACGCAGGGTCCGCTCAGAGCAGCCTGGGAGATGTAGTCCTCGGACCGTCCCCGCTAGAAGCTGCACAGCCCGCCGGGACCGCCGCCGCGCCTGCCGCTGCTCGGCCGGTGCCCTCCGGTTCCCTCTTCCAGGGGGAAGAAATGTCCTTCGGGCGGCTTTCCGGGAAGCTGCAGGATGTGCCGTTCCGCTGTCAGTAGCAACAAGGTCAGCGCCCCCTCGCCGAGGCTCTTGCCCTCAGCCCTTGCCCTCAGGTGGGGCAGAGCCAGGTGCGGGGAGGGACCGAAGGGCCAGTTTCGAGAAGGTCAAGGACCCACCCGGGGCGCTGGCGGAGGGGAGCCTCGGCTCCCGGCTCTCGCGCATCAGAGTCCTTGTCGGGGGAGTTACACAACCCGGGAGTGATCCGATGCTTCGGTGCGGGCGGGTTCCGGAGGGGCCGGGGGAGCGGCTGCCCTCCCGTGACCGTTTGCACCCGCGCCTCGGGGTGTGTGTGGACGTGGGGGACGGGACGATGACCCTCCTCAGCAGGAACCTTCGGGGGGCTTCGCGGAGTCTCCGGGGGAATAGGCTCGCGAGTAAACAGCCCCTGCGTACTCAGCTGTGGGTTGTCAGGGAGGGTCGTTCCACTTTCTGCGTCTGGCTACGGTTGACCCTTTCTAGTCTCCGCGGTTGACCCTTTCTAGTCTCCGCGGAGCCGCTAAGCAGGTGGATGAGGGGAATGAGGGCAGAAGGGAGAGGTCCCAAGTCCCTCCTCCAGCCTCCCTGATACTGTTGGCGGGAGGAAAGAGCTGTTGACTTAAACAGATGCGTAGTCTAGACGACCTGTGGCGTTGTTTAGTGCTGGGATTGGTGGGATATTTGCTAGTTTTCCATTGGTTGTGCCTAATTTTGGTCACAAAATGTGTTGCTACAAAATGCTTTTTCTTTAAAGAAAAATGAGGATTTTTTTTTTTTTTTTTTTTTTTTTTTTACCCTGAAAAATAAACACGGCCTTTAATCCCCCCATTTTGAAAACAGGAGAGGGGGGGTTCGCGGCGCTGGGAGCCTGTGATTAAAAAAAATAGGATTTTTTTTTTTTTTTTTTTTTTTTTGAGCCTGGAATAGTAACTCAGGCCTGTAATCCCAGCATTTGGAAAGCTGAGAGAGGAGGATTGCCGCGAGTTCGAAGTCAGCCTGGGCTGCATAGGGAATTACAGAGTATTACAAGCTGAGACTGTTTAAAAAAAAAAAAGAAAGAAAGAAAGAAAAAGGAGCTAAGGAAGCAAGGAAAGAGAGAAGAAAGAGAGACTGAGAAAGAAAGAAAAAGAGAAGAAAGAGACCGAGAGAAAGAAAAAGAGAAGAAAGAAAGAGACCGAGAGAAAGACAAAAAAGAAAGTACGAAAAAGAAAGAAAAAAGCAAGCTAGCGTGCTCGTCGGGTGTCTTGGCACACGCCTTAATCCCAGCGCTCAGGAGGCAGAGGCAGGTGGATCTCTGCGAGTTAGGGGCCAGCCAGGGCTACATAGTGAGACTCTGGCTTAGAAAACCACTCCCCCACCAGCCCTGCCCCCCCCCCAAAAAAAGAAATTTCAGTTTGGTAGTCCAAACACATAATCCTAGCACTTGAGAGGTGGAGGCAGGAGAATCAGGAATCATCCTTTGCTACATAAATCTTGATTTCTAAACCAGCCTAAACTACAAGAGACTTTGTCTTGAATCCAGCCTGGATTACAGAGTGGGACTGTCTCAAAACAACAGTGAAAGCACCTTTGCTTTTGGTTTTTCTGAGGCAAGGACTGTATGTTTAATGTGAGCTTGACTGGAGATACTCTGAGCCTCCCTAGTGCTGGCATTACAGGTGTGGCCCACCACACCCAGTTTGAAAATGTGTTTCCAAAATTCTTGTTTAGGGGTCTGGAGAGATGGCTCAGCAGTTAAGAGCACTAGTTGCTCTTGCAGAGTACTGACTGAGGTTTGGTTCCCAGCACCCGTATGGTGGCTAACAGCCATCCATAGCTCCAGTTCCAGGGGATCTAACGTTCTTTTCTGGCCTCTATACATTAAATGCAGGTTGTGCGCTTTTATACATGTAGGTAAAATACTCATATAAAATAAAAATAAAAATTTAAAAATTGTGAACATAGATTTCTACAGTCAACTCTTACATGTTCAAATCCATTTTTTTTGTCCTCTAAACATCTTTGAACTAGTACGCCCCCAGGATAAATAAATTAACAAATGCCTATAAGTTTATCTGACCTCTAATTTCTGAAATATACCTTTTATTTTTATTATTTATTTATTTCTGAGACAGGACCTCACTTTGTGTCCCCAGCTGCCTGAAACTTGCTATTTCACATGGATACTGGGTATCTGAATTCAGGTCCTCATGCTTGCATTGCAAGCACTTTACCCTCTGGAGCCATTTCCTCAGCTCAGACTTTAGGGTATTATAATTAATGCCCTTTTTATGAAATTAGAAATAGACCTACCCTATGGAAGGAAGATGAGTAATTTAAACAGGATCTCTATTATTTTATTTATTTATTTATTTATTTTGGTCTTTTTGAGACAGGGTCTCCCTGTAGCTCCAGCTGACCTGGGGCTGACCTGGAACTTGGTAGCGGACCAGGCTGGCCTTGAACTCACAGAGATCTGCCTGCCTCTGCCTCCTAAATGCTGGGATTAAAGGTGTGCACCACCAGTCCTGGTAGTCTATAAAAGAGACAGAAAAAAAATTGTGCATGTACATGACTATAGACAAATTTTTTTTTGCCCTGTGACTATAGAAATTAGCAGAAATTAATTTACTGAAAATATGAAAAGATTTCTCCAGCCTTAGAGGACAGCCTTAGAGGACAGAACAAGAATCAATAATTGTATATTTACCCTCAAGCATTATAAACTATTTTAATATTCTATAATTTAGAAATACTCGGTTATGAACTGTTGTAAATATGTCCAGAAATTTAAAATAATGTGTGATTTAATGTTCTTCCATCCCACTTGTTTTGAAGTACCTTTCTAAAAGAGTCAGCTGGATGTGATAGCACACTCCTTTAGGCCTAGCACTCAAGCAGATCAAGATCAACCTGGTCACATAGTCAGTTCCAGGCCAGCTGGGGCTACAGGGAGACGCTGTCTAAAAACAAGTAAACAAACAAAAAACAAAACAAAACAAAAAAACACCCCAGAGAAGTAGTATTATAGTATTATATTTTGAGACAGGGTCTTCCTGTACCCCCAGCTGGCCTGGAACTTCCTATGTAGACCAGGCTGACCTCAAACTCACAAAGATCTGCCTGCCTCTGCCTCCCAAGTCCTGGGATTAAAGGCGTGAGCCACCATGCCAGGCATGCATTATAATACATTAAGATACCATCCAAAGAGCTGTCAATTGCTGGATGCAAGCCTTCTATCCCAGCACTCCAGAAGTAGAGGCAGGTGGATCTCTGTGAGATCCCAGCCACTCTGTTCTACATACCAAGTTCCAGGCCAGCTGGAGCTACAGAGACACTGTATCTAAAAAAAAGGAAAGAAAGAAATTCCTTGCATATTAGCACCGTTGATGGTTATGTATTCACTATGTGCATATATTTTAAAAACCAAAATGGGCCTGGAGAGATCAGCTGTCTGAAACTCCAGTTCCAGGGGATCCAGTGCCCTCTTCAGGCCTCTGTGGACATTGCATGCACATGGTACACTCATCTACATGCAGGCAAAACACTCATACACATAAAATGAAAATAATAAAGTATAAAAAATAAAAGGGCCTGGAGAGATGGCTCAGTGGTTAAGAACACTGTTCTTGCAGAGGACCCAGGTTTGAATCCCAGCACCCACATGGCAACTAACAACTGTCTGTAACTCCAGTTCTAGGAGATCTGACAGCCTCTTCTGTCCTTGGGCATTGCACAACATGGGTGCACTTACCCACATGCAGACAATACACGCATACACATAAAATAAAAATAAAAAATAAAAGAATAAAAGTAAAAACAAAACATTTTCACTTACTATTGACTATTACACAGCAAAAATGTCCATTTTATTAGATTTTCACATTTGGATATGCATATTTCTAAATTTTTATATGATGAAATAGGTATACTGCACACCTCTGCATCTAAAGTATACTAGCTAGGCACAGTAGTGACCCATCTAGCCCCCTTTGACTAAGGAGGCTTGAAGCAGGACTTCGATTTCCAGACCTGCGTGGGCTACATGGCAAGGCCCTGTCTCAAAAAACCAAATCAGACTGGGTTTGGTGGCTCATGCCTTTAATCCCAGCACTTGGGAGTCAGAGGCAGGTGGATCTCTGTGACTTTGAGGCCAGCCTGGTCTACATAGGCCAGCTAGGGCTACAGAGGGACCCTATCTCAAAAAGACCAAACAAAAAACAAATCAATAATAAAGGCAAATAGCCCAACCTGAAAATCGACAAAAGATATGAATAGATATTTCTCTAATGATGCCTGCATTGTAAATAAATGAAAAAATGTTTATTTTTCATTAGCCTGTATATCTATGGATAAGTTTTTTTTTTTTTTTAATCTGAAATTCTTAGAACCCTTAGGATCTAGGGGGTTTTGTTTGTGTTTGTTTCTGATCCTGGGTACTGAGCCCAACTCATCTACTTTCTCAAGCACTTAGGCTTTTTAAAAAATGGCTTTAAGCCAGGCATGGTTGGACAGGCTCATAATCCCACCAGAGGCAGAAGCAGAGGCAGGTGGATCTCTGTGAGTTCCAGGCCAGCTGAGGCTACAAGGTTTATTTTTATTTTATACACATGAATGTTTTGCCTACATTTATGTATGTGTATTGCGTGCATGCCTGGTTTCTGAGGAGGCCAGAAGAGGGTGCTGGATTCCTTGGAATTAGAGTTACAGCAGGTTAAAGTTGCCATGTGGGTGCTGGGAACTGAACCTGGGCCCTCTTCAAGAACAGCAAGTACTCTTAACCACTGAGCCATCTCTCTAGCCCCTAGGCTTTATTTCAGTGTTTACATTTGCTTGTATTTTAGTTTTTTCCTTCCTGGAGAAGCTCTGGACTCTAAATTGACTAATAGCTGTTTGTAGTTCTTGGAACTTGACTTTGAAGTTTGTTATTTCCACAAACTTCTGTTATCTTAGGCTTGCACAGATGTTAAGAGTGGACCCCAGTCACAATGGCGGATAGATCTATTGGAAGGGATGAAGATGACAATGAACGTGAAATAGGAAGTGCTACAAATAGACATACACTGAACTGTCGTGAAGAAAAAGTGAAAACCAACTATGAGTTTAGAAGAACACAAACTGGAGCCATGTGAGTGACCCAGAACTCAAACAAATAGAGGATGATTTGCTGAAAAATGAAGCAATCATTTGAGAATGTTTCAAAAGCAAGTATTAATCATTTTATGTGGACTGGCAAGATTTCTCAGTAGGTAAAGATGCTTGCTGCCAAGCCTGATGACCTGAGTTTGATCTTCAGAACTCACATGGTGGAAAGATAGAACCAACTTCTGGGAGTTGTCTGCTCTCCACAAGGGTGCTGTGGCATGCTTGTACCACCTCATAAATAAATAAATAAATAAATAAATAAATAAATTAGCTTGTACCACCTCCCAAATAAATAAGTAAATAAATAAATAAATAAATATAAATAAATGAATAAATAAAAACAGCTTGTACAACCTCCCAAATAAATAAGTAAATAAATAAATAAATAAATAAATAAATAAATAAATAAATTTTTTAAATGCCAAAAAAGTTTTGAAGGACCAAGTTTGAGAGTTCATACTTTTTGATTTTTTTTTTAAATTCTTTCTTTTGATGCCAGGGCCTCAGGCATGTCAGGCAGACATTCTATCACTGAGCTGTATCTTCAGGCTCCCACTTGTTTAAGACAGAATTTCAAGTAGCCCGGGCTGACCTTGAACTTTTATCTATTTATTTATCTTTATATATGTAGTTAAGAGTGACCTTAAAGCCAGGTGTGGTGGTGCATGCCTTTAATCCCAGTACTTGGGAGACAGAGGCAGGCTGATCTCTGTGAGTTCAAGGCCAGCTTGGTCTACATAGTGGTTTCCAGGCCAGCTGGGGCAACAGGGAGACCCTGTCTCAAAAAGACCAAAAAAAAAAAAAAAAAAAAAAAAAAAAGTGACCTTAAACTTGTGATTCCCCTGCCTCTTGGCTTCCCAAGTGCTGAGATTACAGATGTGTGCCCACACACCTAATTCATTTGATTCTGGGGATTGAACCTTGAGCTTTGTGCATGCTTACTCTACCAACTGAGCTACATCCTCAGCCCATATTTCCTAATTTTATTTTATTTTAGATTTTAAAAATGTACATCTTATCTGGTTGTGGTGGCACATGCCTTTAATCTCAGCACTTGGGAGGCAGAGGCAGGCGGAGCTCAGTGAGCTCTAGGCCAGCTTGATCTACATAGTGAGTTCCAGGCCACCTAGGGCTACAGTGAGACCCTGTCTCAAAAAGGACCCCCCCAATTGTACATTTTATTTATTTTGTGTATGGGGGTGGGTTGCTTTAGCACCACACACCAGTGAAAGTCAGAGGACAATCTGAAGGAGTTGGTTCTCTCCTTCAACCACATGGGTCCCAGAGATTGAACTCAGGTTGTCATACTTGACAGGGGCCTTTACCTGCTGAGTCAACTCTCAGGTGCTCCTTTCCTAGTTTTAGATTGTACTAAAAAGCTACAATGGTCAAGATCGAATAGTAGTGGCATAAAAGTAGATATTAGTAGATCAGTGGACAGGAGAGAGTCCAGAAATAAATCCTGGCATTTATGATCGTCATTTTATTTTGGGCAAGGATCTGAAGATAATCTAATGGGGGAATGCATAATGTTTCCAACACAGCTAGATACCCACATGTAGTTGAATTACCTACAGCATGAACAAAAATTGGATCAAAGATAGAAATGTAAGAACTAAAACTATAATGCTCTTAGAAGAAAATATAGCCAGGTATAGTACCACATACTTTTAGTCCAAGCACTCAGGAGGCAGAGAAAGGCCCATCTCTGGGAGTTTAAGGCCAGCCTTATCTATATAGTGAGTTCCAGGCTAGTCAGGACTACATAGCAAGACCCTCTCTCAGGAAACAAAACATAAGGATAAATGTACAGGACCTGGGATTGGACTCTTTTCTTGCATATGACAACAGTGAAAGTATCAGAAGGAAGAGTAAATTAAATTGAATCAAGATGAATAGATTTTGTGCTGGAAAGGAGGTGTTTTCCTCAGGTTTTGTTTTTGTTGTTGTTGTTGTTACTATGATGCACTCCCTAGAGAGTCTAGATGTGGTGACCCCTAGCCAGAATCTCATCAGCTGGGAGGTTAGAGGCTAGAGGATCAAGTATTAGAAGGTCACTCTCAGCTACATAGTAAGTTTCTGGCCTCTAAGGGTGCCTGCACATATGTGGCATACACATATACAAATAAATAAATAAATAAATAAAACTAAAACTTAAAAGAAGTAAAAATTTATATTTTGGCTCATGTTTTGTGAAGTTTCAGTTTGCTAGCTTCATTTTTTTCTGGGCCTGTGATGAGGCACAGCATCCTGGTGAAGTGGCAATGTAGAGCAGCAGAGGTACTCACCTAATGAAAGTCAGGAAAGAGGTACCCAGCAGAGACACCCCCCTCAGCACTGCCCGCCCCAGGCCTGCAGTGACCTACTTCCTCCAGCCAGGCCCCATCTCCTTAATAGCCCATTCAGTGTGAACCCATCAGTGAGTAACCCATTAGTGAAGTTAATACCCTCATGATCCAATCACCTCAGTGATTACATCTACCAGCTGGGGACCAGCCCCTCAATTCATGAGCCTTTTTAGGGACACATCATACACACACTATAAGAGGAAGATAACTTCAGGAAAAACAGGCTAGAGAGATGGCTCAGTGGTTAAGAGCACTTACTGCTCTATCAGAAGACCTGGATTCGATTACCAGCACCCATGTGGTGGCTAATACCCATCTTTGACTCCAGTTCAAGGGGATCCGATGTCCTCTTCTGGCCTCCACAGGCACTAGGCACACATGTGGTATTCTTACATGTATGCAGGCAAAATACTCATACATTTAAACAAAAAAATCTTTGGGCTGGTGAGACGGCTCAGCAGTTAAGACAACTGGGTGCTCTTGAAAAAGACCCAGTTTCGAATCCAGGCACCCAGATGATAGCTAACAGCCATTCAAAACTCCAGTTCTAGGGAATCTGATGTCCTCTTCTGGCCTTTGTGGGCATTGCACAACACTGGTGCACTTAACAATACAAGCAGGCATAATACTCATACACATAAAATTAAAAAAGGAAGTACTTACTTTGATACCACATATAAAAAAGCTGGATGCAATGATGCCCAATGGTAATCCCAGCACTCTTGTGACGGTGAGGTGGGAGGCTGAGACAGGCAAATAGTCTTTAAGCTCCCAGGCCAGCTGGCTTTGACTACATAGTGCAGAGGAAACAAGAAGAAAGCCTGTCTTAGAAACTAAGTAGGAGAAGATAATGGACCCTCAAAAGTTGACTTCTGACTTCCATACACTGTAGCATGGTCATGCATTCAGGTTCTCTGTATCCCTCTCTCCCCCCCCCTCTTTCTCCAATCATAAGTAAATTTTTTGAAAAAGAAAACAACCATGGCAGGGCACAGGGCACACCTTTAATCCAAATACCTGGGAATTAGAGGCTGGAGGATCAGGAATTCAAGGTTATTTATTCTCAGCTACATAGCTGAGTTTGAGGTCAGCCTAGGCTATATAAGACTCAAACTACAAAAAATTAGAAAGATGGTTGGGATATAGTTCAGTAGGGTATGCTAGTGCTTATGCAACATATGTAAGTCCCCAGTATCACAAACTACAATAGCAACAAGAAGTAAAAAGAAAAGAAAAGGGGGAAAAAAACAAAAGAAGAAAGGCCATCTCACAGAACAGGAGAAATGTTTTGGAAATCTTAATTGTCATGTGCCAGGTCCCAGTGAGGATCCTGTCTCATAAAAAAGGTGGATGGCTCCTGAGAAATAATACCCAGGGATGATGTCTGGTTTCCACATACACATGCATATGCCTGTACACGCACATATGTACTCATACACACATGTGCATCTAAACATGAATATGCACATTAAAAAACAACAAAAACAGCTTGCCCAGAGTGCCTCCACTGCTCCCGGCTAGAAGGGAGGGGTAGAACAGCCCTTGGCAGGCCCAGGAGAGAGAGAGAGAGAGAGAGAGAGAGAGACACACACACACACACACTAACACACTAGGGCGCCAGCAAAACAACAACAACAACAAAACACAAAAACCCCAGAGCAGGTTACTTTAGCCTCTGTTTTTATCTGTGAAATGGAGATAATGAAGATCTTCTCACCTGTGTGAATTTTTGATCATAAAAATGCTATGTACCTAAAACGGCAGGTACTGTGAGTTCAGTAATTTTTTTTTTCTTCTTTTTGGGGTCTTGCTACGTTGTCCAGGCTAGTCTCAAATTCTTGGGCTCTACCTGCATTAGTTTTCTAGTACTCGGGAATACAGGACACACCACTGCTGTATTGTCTTTTCAGAAGATTAGTTTATTGAGTACATGGCAAGACTGCAGTGGGCTGGGCAGTAGCCAGAGCACTGCCTACAGCCCTGCATATTTTTTCTTATTACTTAGGACCAAGCAGCTCCTAAGGCATAGGCAGCTGCCTATGTTTAGGCAATCAGATATAGATACATTTTGTTTTTTAGAACTTTGTTTTTTGTTTTAAATTTTATGTGTATGAGTGCTTTGCCTGCATGTATGTAAGTGAACCACATGCATGCAATACCCTCAGAGGTCAGAAAAGGGTGTTAGGTGCCTTGGAACTGGAGTTACAGATGGTTGTTAGTTACCTATTGTGGGTGCTGGGAACTGAATATGGGTCTTTGTGAGAGCAGCCAGTGTAACCCCTGAGCCATCTCTCCAACCCTCATTTTTAATTTTTACTCTTTTTTTTTTGAGAAAGGATCTCATATAGTCCAGGTTTACCTCAAATTCAAGCCAAGGCTGGCCTTGAATTCCTGCTTCCTCTGTGTCAACCTCCTGTGTATTATAGGCATGTACAAGCATGCCAGTAACAGTTATTATGGAATTTTATAATTCCATGCCCTATCCACACATCACTTGTTACAATATAATGTAGATCCTTTTCTAATTGTGATGATGTCATTTTCCATTAGCATTTTGACAGGTGGACTGATTTATTTTTTTCTAGAAGTGGTGTGGTATCAGCTCAGGTATCCTCTCTTGCGATAGTTGCCACAT